GGTAGGTCTATATATATATCCCCCCCCCACATTTCACTAATGGGAGTGAGCTTTTTATTAATTTGATTGGAAATGTGTTTAATTGTCATGAAAATAAAAAAGCTAAACTATTAATGGCATTTTTTTCTAGATTTTGGGTTGAAATATAACCCTGACATGTTCTTGACCAGTTATGTGCAATTCACTCATATGGAGGTTTAGATGTGCGGTTCCTGCACTCACTGCTTGGTCCGATGGCGTCTTTGGTAGGTCCTGGAGAAATGGGCTCTGCACAGTACTGACACAGACAGTCCTTGCCATTGAACGTCACTCTGTCTCCAGCAGGAAATGGTCTCCTGTAGGTCATAAAATATACGATCCATGCAATGTCAATAACTGTATAATGTCCAGTGTGTGTCTCTTTGCGAGTGTGTGTGTGTCCGTAGGCTCTTACTTGCAGATTGTGCACACAAAGCATGCTGGGTGGTAGGTCTTTCCGAGTGCAGTCACCACCTCCCCCTCCACAAACTCTCCACAGATGTTACAGCGCGTGCCATGGATGCGTTGGTAATCCAGAGTGCACAGATATTCCCCATTCTTCATGAAAAATCCTCCCTGAGCCAGATCGCAGCCACATACTACAGCAAAACACACATTCTAAAGTTGGTTGTGAATTATTATCAAAATCAAAATCACGGTGTGTTATATACATTCACTCTACCTAATAATATTGTTTTAAATATTAGAGAATAATAAAATAATATTATATAAACATTAAATATTTAAAGAATAATTAAATGCTTCATAAAGGCATCTGGGGGGGAAAAAAACTACCATGGTTTCCACAAAAATATTAGGCAGCACGTCTGTTTGTAACATTGATAATAATCAGAAATGTTTCTTGAGCGGCAAATCAGCATATTAGAACGATTTCTGAAGGATCATGTGACACTGAAGACTGGAGTAATGATGCTGAAAATTCAGCTTTGATCACAGGAATAAATTACATTTTAAAATACATTTAAATAGAAAAGTTAGTTTAAACCGTAAAAATATTTCACAAAATAAATGTTTTACTGTATTTTTGATCCTCATTCACTTCCATTATACTAGACAGGGACATTTTTTAAACAATCATATTTTATGTTCTGCAGAGGAGTAAAAAAACAGTTGGTAAGTAAATAATGACAAAAGTTTTTAGGGTGAACCTTGATTTTTGTTATAATGGCTTCTTTGTCATACATTTCTGTTCTTCTAACAGGATAATGCATCATAATTGGCGCACTAGAAATAGCAATTGTAAAAATAAACCTCAGTGGAGGACAATGGACAAACCATGATCTTGAGAATACATAATAGTCAGAAACCTTGAAATGTCTAATCTGAACTAATAGCCTATCTTAAACACATTTAGAGCTCATTGTGTTTCATTTTAAGCTCTTAAGAGCTCCTTCACCCACTTTCTATTTAGAGAATGAGCGAGTGGCAGTATAATAAACATGTACAATGTATATGTAGTATGTGTGCTGTTATGTAACTGACTCTAGTGCTTCTCATAGCCTTCTACATGATCAGCTCCGATAAAATGAGTTCATGCACTGATAAACTTCTGCAGGGGCCATATGAGGACAACGGCACCCCATAAGTCTCAGAGATAAAGTGAGAGAAATATTATATATATATATATATATATATATATGTTTTTTTTTTACTGTAGAAAGATATTAAGTGCACCTTTAACACAAAAAAGAGACACAGTTATTTAAAAATATTCATCCCAACATCCTTAAGTTAACCTGCATCTCAAAAAACGATGTGCATACCACAGCCAATATCAACCTAAAGGGAATAAACAACATGACAGCGTCTCCTTTGAAAATGTGAAAATCATCACTGAAACATTTGATCTGATGAATAAATGAAAAAGTAATGGACTTGGTAACAATGTCCTTTGGCACATTTCCTACAAGCAGACTTTCATCTCTGGATGACGCAGGCACAAAAGAATACATTAAAACTAATATTCAGATATTAAACTTTCATTCATTCTAAGGAGCTGGTAGTTTTAACTTTAAAGTTTAAACTTTAAAATTACATGCATTTAAAAGCGTTTAAGAAATAAAAAAATGATTATCTAAAAATTATCTAAATATAAACACTTAAACAGAGATATGCAATTGAAAAACTCCAACAAATAGAATGCATTAATTTAACTTTCTGTGATTTAGTGATTGTATTACTTCACACATGTGTTAATAAGTTAAAATTTATTTAAATTGTACCTCTTATTCTTCAGAAACCACTTTCTTAAAATAATAGTTCACCCAAAAACTTAAATTAGCTGAAAATGTACTCACCCACAGGCCATCCAAGATGTAGATGAGTTTGTTTCTTCAACGGAACAGATTTGGTCAAAATTTAGCATTATGCTTGGATCCTCTGCAGTGAACGGGTGCCGTCAGAATAAGAGTCCAAACAGCTGATAAAAAAATCACTATAACTGACAAGATTCCAGTCCATTAGTTAACGTCTTGTGAAGTAAAAAGCTGTGTGTTTGTAAGAAACAAATCCATCAAGATGTTTTTAAATTCAAACCAGCCCTCAATGCATGATATTGCTTTCTCCGGTGCAAAAGACATCTTGTCTGAATCAGGAGAGTAATATGCACAGATCAAGCACCATTTACAGATGAAAACAGTCCAAAACAGTTCTAAACAAATATGTTGGTGGATGTTGATGTGAGAGGACTTTTTCACTGATGGAAGCATTATTATGGATTGTATTTTGGACAGAAGTTATGGTTTAAAGTTTAAGCGTCTTAATGATGAATTTGTTTCTTATAAACACACAGCTTTTTGCTTCACAAGATGTTAATTTATGAATTCGCGTGGATTACCTGTGAATTATTGTGATGTTTTTATCAGCTGTTTAAACTCTCATTCTGACGGCACCCATTCACTGCAGAGGATCCATTGGCGAGCAAGCGATGTAATGCTAAATTTCAACCAAATCTGTTCCCATGAAGAAACAAACTCATCTACATCTTAGATGGCCTGAGGGTAAGTACATTTTCAGCAAATTTTCATTTCTGAGCAAACTATTCCTTTAATATTCTGTATATTGGCTTAGTGCACATGATTCAATGATGCATCACATTATGGAAGTAAAGCAGGCTGTGAGCAGGTTGCCTACAAATGAAGAATAGAATGATCTAGTTGGTTTATGCTACTCTGAAGTGATTAGATGATTAGATAAGCTGATTATTATTACACAGACTTACATTAAGGATGGCATAATCCCTAAAGGGTGTTGAACACAAAGTAGATGATTAGTTCTTACACTGATTATCTGCTCAGATTACTACAGGTCATGTTCAAATTCAAATCTAATTTCTGTGTAGTTTGATCAAGAGTTGACAGTAAAAAGATTGTAATATCTCATATTCATTATCACCTTGCATATATATAATTCAAGAACTGTTAAATCCCTAGTCCAAAAATAGGCCTGCTGAGTCACTCTTTTTCTATCTCTCCCTCAGTCGGTGTCATTGTCTCTGTGTCTGTGATGTATTAAGAGGCCACAGTAAGGTCAGAGGTCAGAGAATGACATGAACTCAGTCCTGTGTGAGAAATAAAGGGCTGGGCGAGATATTAAATATGCCCAACTGAAGCTAAAAGTGAAACAAAATAAACAAACAAACAACAACAACTATCAGTCCACTGCAAAAGTAACGTACAAGTAATATGTTACTTTTTAAGTAAAGCAATTATTTAATAATGTGACATACTACTTTTAAAAGTAACTTTTTAAACGTGTTCCCCAAGAAAACCATGCATTCAACAAATTAAAATAACATAGAAAGTCATGTTTTCATATTTCAACATGTATCATTTAGCTCAGTGACTGTTAAAAATAACAGCTACTACTACAGGTTAATATACTGTATACTTACAAAATAAACGTTTGGACACACTTGATTGAATTATGTTTTTTTTGCAAATTAGTTTTGTAGAAAACTACAATTTTATTTTTTGAGTTGGAGCAGTGCAGGAACAACTGTCCACCATACATTTGAACTTCTATCACGTTTTGATCACTACATAATTTGCATATTTTGTGTTATTTCATAATTTTGATATTAATCTAAAATGTGAAAAATAGTAATAATAAATGTCCATACTTTGACAGGCAGTGTATATATGTACAAGGCTACTTCCATTAATTAATCCCTAAAATTTGTCATGTGCAACATACTAGATGTGACTGTGTCAGTCAGATTTGTGCTGCACTCACAGAGCAGATCTTACATCATAATGCCGCTCTCTCTAATTGAAGTGGGACAGCAGGACAGAGGGAAAGTCTCTGGGTTAATTGGATCGCAGCTCAGACATGACAGGATTTACTTCGTAATGTAGGACTGTATTGTATCCAGGTCTACGTGACTCAAGTGTTGCTGACAAAATAGTCAGCATAATCTCGAGTGTTTTGTTAAAAGCAGATGGATTTGGTGGGCTTACTAAATAAAGACCCTGAAGTTACATGGTAAATCATGACACTATACCAGTAAGTTCAACAGAAAGCACTAAAGCAAGAAAGGCAGTCTGGATGTCACCTAATGACCAAACTTTCACACACACACACACACACACACACACACACACACACACAAAGTACTGTATAATAATTATATAATTCATTAAAAAATATATATATAAACCCCCCTAATAAAATATAATTAAAATGCTTAAATGAATTATAGAATTTCATGTTCACTACTACCATTTACACAATGAACTGATGTTGGTAACCTCACCTGTCCATATAGCGCTAATGCTATATTGACAACAAACACAAGTGAGTTGGGTCTATTTTTAAAACTTTTCATAGATTCTGAGAAACGCATGCTAAATAGGTCAAGCTGGAACTCATCTATAACGGTCTTAACAATCACACAGTGATCCTGAACTCTGGCAGGAGAGATGAGTCATAGGAGACGCACACAAGAGGTGTTAGACAGACTTCAGAAACATTTATAGGAAAAACTCAGCAAACCAGAACTACAACATCTCAGACAGGGAGGATTTCACTTTGAAAATGCAACTAAATGCACACAACCTGTCAAAAACTGTCTAGCTAACATTAATTTCCTATGCTTTTCTTTTGATTTTGTGCATGGTAAAATATGAACCAGACATGTTATTAAATTGTTGTGCTCTCAGTTTACGAACTACATATAAAATAGACAGACAACAGTAAATGTCCAGCATACACCTCTTCTTTTCTGAAGATATTAGATTCTGTATTTGAATATTCCATTCATATCATAATTCTAATTTACATCTCTTCCTCATTCAGCATTTGGCTTCATGGCACTGAATGTCTTGCATGTAACAGGGACTGATGGTTTGTATATGTGAATAAGTGACATTAATTCACTCACCTTTGCACGTGAAGCACTTGATGTGGAAGTGTTTGGCCTGCACTCGTAACACCTCTCCCTTGCACACCTCCCCACATTTAGCACAGCATATCAAAGGCTTCTCCGTCTGGTGGTGAGCTTCCTGTGTATGGGCCACTTGTATAGGAAGAAAACAAAAGTTGACATGGTCTGTAACAGTACTGCAACAGTGCAAGTATGTGTGGAATATGAGCTGCTTGTGTAGAGCTACTGCATATAAAATACAATATTCCGTTCAGTAACACAGTCCATTTTAGTTTATATTACAAAAGCGAGCTTAAGTACACTACTATGCAAAAGTTTATGGTCAGAAAGTTTATTTATTTTTTATTTTTTGCAAAGATGCATTAAAATTATGAAAAGTGCAGTGAAGACGTTTCTAATGTTAAAATAATATACAAAAATTCTATTTCAAATAAATGTTGTTCTTTGGAACTTTCAGGACATCAAAGAATCCTGAAAAAAAAAACTGTTTCCACAAAAATATTAAAGGGGTGGTTGACTGTTTTTTTTTCTAGGCTTGATTGTGTTTATGGGGTGCAGTCTAAAACCCTATTCGCACGGGATTAGTATTACCTGGGGACCTTGTGTGATTTTGAAATTACCCAACCACATCTGAATTTCGTGTTGTGCATTCGCACTAATGCTTATGTTAGCTTTTAATATACGGTTTTATCCTGATTAAAGCTTTAATACAGTACGGCAACTGCACGCGCGTCCATGTACAACGCTTCTCATAGCTATGTGAAAATAAGTGTATAATTGTAACAGTTCATTGTTACAATTAAATTCACAGCAGCACAACTGTTTTCAGCATTTTCTGGAGACTGGAGTAATGATGCTGAAAAGGACTTTGCATCACAGGAATAAATCGGATTTTAAAATATATTTAAATAGAAAATAGTTATTTGAAATTGTAATAATATTTCACAATATTACTGTTTTTACTGTATTTTTGATCAAATGAATGCAGCCTTGGTGAGCAAAAGAAACAAAAGAAAAAAAAATTACCACAAACTTCTGAACGGTACTAGTGTACATTGCTGTACCTTAAAAATCATCATGAAATAGCTGTAAACAGGATTTTCAACAAGAAATCAAATAGCAAACAGTGCTGAACACATAAAGTCAGAAGACTGTATAAATGCATGTCTCTGCCTCCATTAAAATCCACACAGCCGATCCTGTACCTTCAAATATCCCTTTTAAAAATACCACCACATCACATCAAACGTCCACAAATCCTGATTATCAATTCTGCATTGAGACGTACTGCATGGATCCTCATTCCCCTGGAGAAAGAGTTCAGCACGGACTGAAACACACAAAACTTTCACTGTTATTGATCTGCATTTGTTTTCCATTTATTTTGCATTAGTTTTAAGCATCACTTTATCCAAAACATCCACTATTGTTATCCTCTACTCTATTTGTCAAGGTTCTTTATTGGCATTGATGGTTCCATGAAGAACCATTAACATCCATGGAATCTTTCCAATTCACAGAATGTTCTTTATAGCAGAATAAGGTTCTTCAGGTTATTAAAATGTTCTTCACATTAAGAAAAAAGTGGTAGAACTGTTCACTGAAAGGTTCTTTGGGCAACCCAAAATAGTTGTTCTGTGAAAAGTACCCCCTTTTGGAGGCTTTATTTTTAAGTGTACTCCATTCTAGCCCATTCCCCCTCTCAGCTGTGTCTACACTAATCCAGGAGGAGTGACTGATTCTGTCCCAGAGTGTTGAGCATCAAACACAGACAGTCCCCGTCACAGGGCCAGAGCAGCGCTGGATGTGTGTGCATGTGGACCAGTGCATGTGTGTTAGCTTGTACGAGTCTCGTGGGACATTCATTTAGCAGACGCACACTTTTTTCATACATATTTATGAGGATAATCTCTTCCCCTGCCCCCTTTCCATACCCTCTCCACTCTTCCGTCCCAGGCCAACAAAGCACTGGAAAGTGGGATCAGAGCCGTATCTCTCACTACCAGAGCTAAAGCATCATTATCTTCAAAACATTCAGTATTCATGAAGACATCAATGAAATTACATTTAGAAACATTAAAATTCGGAACAAGTACAGTGAGATCAAATGTAAATGAACCAGTCTCAAATGTTTCCTCGCTTTTGTATAATTACAAGATTTGAGTGGTACTAGCTTATATAAAATAAATCATAATTTTAATGGCAAAACACTTAAAAACCTGTTAACTTCCCTTAATATGGTGCTTATGGTGAGAAAAAAAACTGTAAAATAACTAGAGCTTATAACTGTAAAAAATACAGTAACAACATGTCAAGTTTTACAGATTGAACCTAAATTTACAGTAAGTAAAAACAACAACAACAAATCTTAAAAAGACTGTTAAAATGCTACGATAAAAACCTGTTAATTGGTTAAGTGTGAAGTTAAAAACTGCAGTTGATCTAATGGGACATTTCATGTTATTTTACAATAAAATACTGTAAAATGTAAATTTTTGAAGTGAAAAAGAACAGGGCATATGCTTATACTTTACAGAGATATATTTTGGTCTCTAGATATGACCCATGTCCTTATGGAAGCCGGTAAAAAATTAATTTAAAAAAAGTAATTGTGACTTTATATCTCACAATTGCTTATTTCTCTCACATAACAGTTCTCAAATCTACAAGCCGTATAAATGACTCACTAATGTAAAAAAAAAACTGCACTGAGGGGTCTTACATGTATTTGTAAGAATCAAATGAGTGGTATAATGCAGGAGAGTAGATGACAGCTGCTGTACTTCAAGTACTTCATCCAAACTCTTAGTGAAGCTTTCTAGAACACTTCCTCCACACAAGCAGGCATTTCTGCTGATTAAGCTCTGGTCAGAGGAGTTAAACTCCAGCTCTGAGAGCACACCATTACAGATATCACATCAGCATCACAGACACTACAGCTCGACTGACTCGCTCTCCTGACTACAGACAGCTGCCTTAACTGGGATGAAACGAGATTATGCATGAAATGGAATGCAATTCATTTCAAAAGAGTTTTGCACTGGTGTGTTGCTAAGCTAACAACACAATACTCCAATAACTACAGAAATGCACAGAATATTTTATCAATACTTACAACATTTGTCTGGATTCATCCATCGTTCTGGATTCATTTGTTTCCCTGAGCTCAATACAGTGCATTATAGGATTGGCTTCTCATGAAAGGTAGCCCTGTTGAAAACAACAGCATATGCTGATATGTTTTGAAGCAAGGCAGCTGGTTTGAGCTGGTTTAAGATGGTCATGTGCTGGCCCTCAGCTGGTTCTAAGCAACTAGCTCCTGCTCAGAACCAGCTCATAACCAGCTTATAACCAGCTCAGGACCAGCTTGAACCAGTTCATGACCAACTAAGGACCAGCTTAAACCAACAAAAACCAGCTGCCATGCTTCAAAACATACCAACATGTGCTGTTTTTATCCACCTTAACATAGCATGGTATTAACATTAAATGCACCTTTTTTTTTTTGGACACTAGCATGATGGTAATACCATGGTATTCTTTTAAGAACTTAAATTCCAAGGTACACTACCATTCAAAAGTTTTTCTGTATTATTTGATGAATAGACAGGACAGTACATATTTGAAATAGAAATCTTTTGTAACTTTACAAAAGTCTTTACTGTCACTTTTGATCAAGTGAATGCATCCTTGCTGATAAAAAAGGAGGAACTAATTCACTTGGTAGAAACGAACTAAATGAAATGCCACCATGGGCACCAAGTTGTGCAAAATGAATAAAAATGCACATGGTAAAATAATTATGAATCATTTTTAAGGACATTTTTGTTTACTTTTACATGGTAATTTTATATTACAATTTTAGCGCAGTGTTTGCTTGTCACTTCATGTACAAAAATATGGATCCAACATAAGCACTTGGTACTGCCACAGTACATTTAGTAAGAACAGCTCATGTACATCCATAGCTCAAACATTTTTATGCTGCAGCAACCCAATACTGCAGTATCATATTATTACTTATTTGATACATATATCAAATTATCTACTAAATATGTTTTCAAATAAATCAATACCAAAAGTCTACAAGGACAAAAATCTATAAGGACAAATCTTAAAATTGTTAACTTGGTTATTACTGTGCGTAAAATTTTAGTTCAAGCTTACCTACATGTTTGTGCCTACAAATCTACAAAATTTTACACTTGCAGTCTTCCCTCTATAGTACTGAAAAAGACTGTATTCATTAGTCAAAGACACAATGCTGGAAATGAACCTGAACTCTGCGTCTCTGCAGATGAACTGCGGCAGGGATGAGACATCTTTAAAGAGACACCCTAAAAGCGAAAGAGGCCACTGCAGGCGAGACACAACAATGGACTTTACCTTCCTGTGAGCGTTGCTATGGCGACGGGTGCAGGCTGCGCGTGTCTACCTCACGCTTTTGGGTCCCATTTAAAACTGAAACAACAGCAACGGCAGGAGACGTGCCGCTATTAAACAATCCCACAATCTATGACCGTCAAATAACCTGTAGACCTGACAGGTACGACTGCAGCACAAAGCGACTCTATCTCTTATATAACAGTTCCTGAGATTCAAATTGCTCACACACAGCAGCTAAAGCCAAACATGGTGCAATCAGGAAAAAAACTAAGATTATCAACCTGTGTTTAACCAATACAGCATCAGAATCACCTTAACGAAGAGGTGAGATAATCCAGCATCTCTGCAGATAAAGAACAGCATGTGATTCTCATGATGCATTTCTGGTAAACCTTTTGAAAGTGACTATTTACTCTTAACAGTGTGAAACGTGACCACACTAATATATAGAGGGTCAGTTACTCTCACCAAAACACACACTCTTAATTACCTTTCTTCTTGACCATGACCATCAGTGGTAAATGAAGATGAATCAATAATCAGCCCTAGTGGAGTCGTATCCAGTGAGATGAGAAATGCAGCATTAAACAGCTGAACAAAAAATCCAGTGAACTAATATGGATGAATAAAAGAGGAATACGCAAATGACAGAAAGCTAAACGTGTCCTGTAACAACAGAGGCAGGCAGGCGCGTGTCTGCTCCCCTGTACCCCTCTGTCTCCTCCTACCGCCCCCACCCTCCCTCC